GGAAAAAATCTAAATCAAGATGAGTAATTTTTTCTTAAAATAACTGCACTGAAGACATTTTATCATTGTCTCCCTTATATCTCCTCTTTCTTTCATCTTTTCTCCTTTTTCCAGTTTTTCCCTTTCCTGTTCTACTTACATTGCAGTGTCCATATAATCTGTACTACTCCCTGCATAATCATAATAAAGCTAGCCGTACTGCTCCACTTGTGAAAGCAAAATCTGTTGGGTCCTTTTTTGGCATCAAGACAATTATTCTTAGTGCCACATTGACAGACAGGACAAAATAATGCAGTTTTTCTTGAATTAAGGAGGTAAGTGAGACACTTTTCCAATAGAATAAGACAATTTACACTTAAAATAAGAAGAAAACAATTGCATTGTCTTATTTCAAGAGTAAAAATACTCATTCCATTGGCAGATCATCTTATTTACCTACTCAGATTAAGGGTAAATACTAGGGATGCACGATATAATCGGCACCCAACCGGTATCGGCCTGTATCGGCCTTAAAACTGAATATCGGACATCGGCCACCCCACCGATATTTAACCCGATATTTGATCAGCTTCTGAATTTCTAAAGTCTAACAAAAAAAAAAAATACTTCTTCTTCTTCCTCAAAAACTTATTTTTTACAGACTTAAAAACTTCTAAAGACGAGGGAAAAAATATTGATACATTAAAATATCCCAATATCTTCATATGCTGATATATTGCCATTTAAAAACACCATATCAATCTCTTTTACTAATGAAATATTGCTATATGTCATCGTTATGCTACGAAATCCCCAGAAAATTCACAAAATGTTGCCATATTTTTATATGTTGATATATTGACGCGGTATCGATCTATTTTACTAACAAAATCTCACAAGAATTTGCAAAGTATCACGAGAGTTTGTAACAGAACAATGAAATTTCACCAGATTTTGAAAGTAAAATAGATCGATACCGCATTTTTTAAAATCTATTTGATATCAGCATATGAAAATATATTTGAGTATATTTTCAAAGTGTCAGAAATGGATAACAAAACTGCTATTTTCAATGACTACTTAATTTTGTCCAGCTTTAACAACGGTATCAATATCGGTTATCGGCTACATGAGTTTTAAAATATCGGCATATCGGATATCGGCCAAAATCCCAATATTGTGCATTCCTAGTAAATACACTTCATTTAAGAAATGTTGACTTATTTCTAGATCATTTATGCATTGTTTGCTTTATCGCATGTGATATAGCTGTTCTCTGAAACTCTTCACATGCTAAACTGACCATCAGCAACAAAAGGAAGCATGAAGACCAACGAACACACCACATATTAGGAATTCAGTTTTATAAATAAAGATTTCAACAATTGGAGCACTAATCAATCCAACATCCAATATCGTTGGGGGAAACATCCTGCAGTAGGAATGATTTTCATCAGCAGGACCAAGGAAGCTGATCTAAGTCGAAGGAGGATGGATGGGATTTAAGACAAGGCAACCCCAGAAAGGCCCGTTAGAGAGTGGGGAGGAGGTTCACCTTCAGGCAGCCTGGGCTAAACTGGGATGACTCAGCATGAGCTGTTGTTCAAAGTCTACTTTTAATACGAATCCATAGTAAGACTTAAAAATTATTCCTAAAGCTTTTATTTTGAAAACTGTTTAAGCCAAGCACATTTCCCCTTACATCATATAATTATACACAACATTGTGTTTTTCAACTACATTAAAGCCCCATAAACATAGAAATTTGCGATTGCAAAGGGATAAAATATGGACATGTTTAAGGGGCAGTAATTATTTGGCAAATCAATATGTGCAAATGCATGTTGACGAGAAAAGAGCTTCCAATAAATGAAGCTAGCTGTCAAACCTGAGTTGTTATTATGCAGTCATAACATTTCAATTCCCAACTCAGCTGACATTGAGTGGGTGGAAGCTAAACCATCTCCCTCACAGAAACCTCTGCATAAGGCCAACCAGCAGCAGAACTGACAGGCTCATCACATGGAGCTGCTTGCCTCTTCCCTTTAAGCTACAGCTAGGCAGCGTCTGCACATCCTCACCCTGCTGGAATCACTTACTCGCTGTCTGAGAGACCATTTGAGTTAAAATGGAGCTTGGACACTTGCACACAACAACACAGGTTGCCCTGACTGAAAAGGATTAGTGAAAGATGACGGCCTATTAGCAGAAATCAGGGGATTTGTGCACCAAGTAGTAAAACAGGAGACACTGTTATTAACAACATAATTGCTCTAATTTATAGATTTTTTTTCTTTCCTAGCCTGAGGAAAAACCGGATCCACACATATCACAGTTGGTCAATGATGGAGGAGACACAGGCTTCAGTCTTAACCCATTTCTTTCCTTATCATCTCAGGGTTTATGCAGGAATGAGTAACTCTAACTTAATGTGTTTTAATGCTCTTAGAAATAATTTTAATGCCATCAACTTATATTTATATATATACACACAAATATATATAGACAATATATAACACGGCAAAATCCTTCATCATCTTTACTGTCGACAGGCTGCAGCCATGTCCTGAATTCGTCGTTTTCCAGCCACTTTTGTTGAAATTAGCATTCTCCCTGTTCTCTAGCCTTTTCTCCGCCTTGAGCTTCTTTTCCGAACATACGGTTTTACGATCAACCGGAAGCAGTTCCACGCAAACACGCAGAACCAGTTATTTCTGATATATCTGACAAACTTGGTTTTATAACCTTTTTTTTTAAAATAAAGCATTTTAAATCCCATGATTATCATTTAAATCATCTTAGTGTCAATTAAGGCCTTAATTTAGAAAATAAGAATTTAATGAATTATTGTTTTTTAATCAGCCTGTATCTTGATATTTTACATTTATGAAAGTCGGAGAGAATTTAAAATGCTTAACTGATGAGGAAGAGGGAGCATTTAGGTCAACATTAAAGCTCAGTACTAATGAAAGCCTTTATTGTTATTTCCTCAACCACTTCCTGATCAGTTACTCTCTAGACCATAAATAAGAGCAGCTTTAACACTTTCCACATTGACCACAGACTCCTACTATGAGTCATAGCATCCAGTTAAGCCATAATCTCCATAACATCAGCCTTAGCATGTCTGAAAGTATCTATTATAGAAGTCTGTAAGAGTTTCATTCCGTCATGAAGGATGTTTTCTGAAGTCATTGGAAACATAGAAGTGGAATACGTTAGCAAACTGCAGCCTTCACTACATCCATGGTGTAAATTTGGGGTTTTGATTTGGAAGGCCATAATAACTGTTTGCATATTTTAAAAGTTCAGCAAAAAACGCTTTGCAGCAGACCTTCAAATCTATTGCTTAGACCACAATAATAATAACAATGTGATGGGAAACACATCCTAGTTATTACTCTGGTGAAAGAACTGCGTTGGCTATTAAATATGGAATGGAGAGTATTCTGCTTCTCCATGTCTCACTAGGCTTCTCCTCCAAACTAAGAATATCTAAAGTGTTTTTTACGGTAATATTTTCTATAACAAAAACATTTGTACATTTTAAAGTTTGTACAGCAAGTATGTGGTCCTCCAAACCATTAATGATATAACTACGCTTCAAGAAAGAAATATTTGGTTATATTTCTGTTGAATATTAGTATTTATCTTCCATATCATTATTAAATCACCATAGGTAAGGGGATTAGTTCAACCAATCAAATATAATGGTCTATTTGAACTGCATAAGTGATTGCTTTAATTATACAATGATGTAAAATGAAAAATAAAAATTTTCTTCATTTAATTATTAACTATGTGTTTAATAAATATACACATTTTAAAGCATAGAGTACAAGTTTAAATATCTTTAATAGTTGTGAGTTAATTGCTGCATTAGTTTGTAATACGTTTGAGTAAAGGCAGGTAAATTTTTCTTGGCTGTTTAATTGGTGTTCTTAGTAGCTTTGACTCGTCTGTTGCTGTTTGGCTGTGACTCCATTCTGGAGAGAAATGCTGCTGCTGCCATCAACACCTTTGTTGATAGATGTTGGAGATCGGCCTGTTTTTCCAGTGTAGTCCTGTTTCTCTGACTGTGATTGGTTGGATGTGCTCTCTTCATCCTCTGGTATGGGAGTTGGCTCGGAGCTCGTCTGCCTGGCTGTGTGTTTCCTGGATAGGGCCGCCTTTTACAGTTGCTTTTGGTATCTCAGCTTCTGTCTCTTTGAACCCCAGTCGGCCTCGGCAGATGGCCGCTTACACTGAGCCTGGTTCTGCTGGAGGTTTCTTCCTGTTTAAAGGGAGTTTTTCCTCTCCACTGTCGCTACAAGCATGCTTAGGGTGAGGGATTGCATTGGAGTTAATGAGTCGATGCAATCAACTGGTTTTCTAGATAGAAAACTTTGAATCAATTCGACTGGATGATGTGGTTGAACTGTAAAGTGCCTTGAGATGACGTGTGTTGTGAATTGGCGCTATAGACATAAACTGAATTGAATTGAATTGGTGAAGTATAAAAAAAAAGTTTTAATCTGAGCGAGAACATGTTTTTGTGAGGATGATCTTGAACAAGCTTCACTTATTCCATGTTTTTCCCCATTTTTTTAAATCACAAAGCCAACATTAGCAGACCTGATGGAACCATAAGGGCTGCAATAAAAAAAAAAAAACAAGCAATTCCAGGGTTCTCTATCTTAAACACTCAGGTGTTTCAGAAGCAGGGAGGGTTGCCAGCGAAGATCTGTTAGTAGGAGGGAGCAAGTTGGACCATATTAAACTTCTCCTGTTAGATTTGATGTCTTTATTCACTGATAAATGCAGATAAACTTGAAAGGGAGTGTTGCTTTGAACCAAATAATGCACTCAGACACACAGCTTAATACCCCAGAATCGCACAAACACTGTGTGTAAAAATATGATTACACTCAAAAGCAGGAAGGAGAGCCGTGGTTGAAGTCAGGCTCTTTCATGCAATAGCTGACCAATCGAGCCACTGGTTTTTGTGTGTGTGGACCGAATGAATAAATTCTCTGACTCACCTCGGTACTTCTGGGAGGCAGGATGCACGTCTGACCTCCAGCATCGCTCTCAAAGACCTGAAAAATCAAAAGAGTGAACGGTCAGAAAGCACAGACCGCGGGGCACCACGCTGACTGACTGACTCATAAAGCTCTGGCTTCAGCAACACAATAATAGTCGCACACAGCGCTGGTAGTTAGGTAGTTAATTAAAAACTACTAGTGGCGAGAACAGCGCTTTGATACTGCTTCCAAATGAGATATCTGTGGCCTTTGAAGGGGGCATGCTGGAAATGTGATGCATGTGCGAAGATTGGGGTGTTTGCAGAGAGATGAAAGGGGGAAATGGTCCAAAGGCAGATGGAAGAAAGGACAAGCATCCTCCTCTAAAACAGCTTCTTAATCAGCTTGAACTTCTCCAAACAATTACTGTTCAAACAGTAGGGAGCAGTAGACACAGATGACTGTTATTTTACGTTTCACTAGAACAGGCAGTGGTAAAAAGGTTTCATCTCTTCTCCTGGTCCCTTTTTAAAATAAGCTAAGATATGTGGAGTATAAAAAAAAAGTTTCATGGTAATTCCTGTTGGAAGAGTGACCGAGCTGTTGTCCTTCCCATGTTGGCATCTCCTTCCATAGAAGGCAGCCGGAAAAAAAGCGCAGACTCTAAGAAAATAACAAAAACATTTTATACAATTTTCTTTACAATTACTTTTTTTCTCTCTTTGTCTAGTTTCATATAAAGTGTAAAAATACTTCGGATGAAGATAAGCCGGTTGTGAATCCACATATAGGAACATCTAAACCATGGGTTGGCAACCCAAACATGTTCAAAGAGCCATATTGGACCAAAGCAATAAAAAATCTGTCTTGGGCTGCAAAAATGTAAAAGTCTTATATAAGCCTAGTATTGCAACGCTGGCTCTAAGTGTATTAGCCCATATGTGGGTTTAAATATGTAATAAGCATTCATGATTAAATGTTTATCCTGGAGCAAATGTCACATCATGTGACTACTCTGCTGTATGATATTTGTTGCTTTAAGTTTAAATTCCATCCCAATATTAATGTATTAGGTTTTGTTGCATTGATAAAATTATAGAAACATAATAAAGAAATCTGTTTTTTTATTTTTTATTTATTTTGATGACTTTGGGGGGAAAAAATGGAAGAGAGCATAAGAATGCATAAGAGCTCTGCATGTTCGATTTGTGGACGGTTTTCCATGCTTGCAACAAAACTAGCAGCAGTGGTGGAGTTTGGAGATGCAATCCACCTCTTGAATCTATCTTTGCTCTCCTGTAATTTATCCTGAAGTTCTGCAATTGCACTTTTTCCTCTTACTCCCAACCAGTGTTAATTTCTTTAACGAGATGATGACGCACAAAAAATTGTTTCCAGAAAATAAAAAATATGACGAGAATAAAAAAGTATTTCGTTAACAAGACTAAGACCATGCGAAATTTACGAGCCATGGACGAATGGAAATGAAAAACTTTTTTATTATTGCTGTATTATTGTTTATGAATTGTAAAATTCAATTTGTAATTGTTAATATCTTGAACTTCTTAGAAGATTAGGCGTTGTTGCCCTGTTTGTCCCTACATGGCGCCTGTCCCACAGTGCCTCGCGCCGCTCAATCAGTAGTAGCAGAGGGCTTATACTCCTAGCTCAACTTCGCAGTGATGGCGTCGGGCTAGGATGCCGGTGTACGGTTTGTTGGAGGAGCTGGGCGAAAACAACGCCTAGACGTATGGAGCCATCTCTTTTACAACACGAAGGACAAAAACCTGCATGATAATGATTGATCATGCTGTGGAGACACTGGAGGAAGGACGCCACCAAAGAGTCTGTGGCTTCAAAATGGGGGGGGAGAACACAACAAATCTCAAGCGACATCTGAGGTGCCAATATGCTGCCATATGGAAGAAGGTTAGGAACAGGTGGGCCTCTAGTAGTAGTACCGTGTGTGTGTGTGTGTGTGTGTGTGTGTGTGTGTGTGTGTGTGCGTGCCTTCCTGTGCCTGTATCTGTCTGTCTCTCTGTCATAGAAGAAAGATGTTCTACTGATACGCAGGATATTAATCGTTTAATTTCTTCCTCCCAACTAGATACTTGACACAATGACACAACAGCCAAATCAGAGGTTGGGGAAGGACAGGAAGTCTGTTGCAGACATGTTGGGAGCACCCCCACCCCCGACGCCAAAGAGCAGAAAGCCCTAAAGAACCCAATGGTAAAGTAGATTGGGCGTTCTGGCCTGCCTGCAAGGACCATTGAGGATGAAGACTTTGTTGATATGATGAAACAAGCCGACAAAAGGTTCAATGTGTGCAGTGTGATATATGTTAAAAAGAGAAGCAGTGTGTGGAGAAGTTTTATTCTGTAGAGTGTTATCTAAAATTACTAAAATTTGGCTAAGACTAAAATAGATTTTCACCATTTAGACAAAGACTTAATTGGGAAGGCAATGACTAAGACTAAAATTGATTTTTGTCTTTGTGATTAAAACTAAATTTAAAAAAGCTGACAAATGCCTTTCCAATTTACTCTTTTTATTATTTCTCATTAGAAAGCAAACATGCAGGCAATCCTTTCGCATCCATAATGAAAGCAAATGATTTGGTCCATTCTTCTTTGAATCTTTGTTCTCAGCTATCTTCCTGTATTTCCCTTTGGGATCCATGGCCCAAGACACACGCTGTGCTGAGAAGTGGCTATGACGCAAATCTTCCTTGACATAAATGTTAAAATTGATTTAATATAGACAGTTTTATGGCATTGGAAAACATAATGAATGTTTGTTTGATCTCCTGCACACCATATTGAAACAAACAAAAAAAGAAATCCCTCTTTTCCATTTCATACATTTTTGAAAAAGCTCAAAGGAGCTGCAAGGGGGGCATTAAAGAGCCACATGCAGCTCTGGAGCCATAGGTTGCTAACCCCTGATCTAGAGGAATGCTGAAAACAGATTTGTCCACATGCCTCCTTCCATGTGATCCTGATCGCTTAATAAAAAGGTCAAGAACTCATCCTTTAGACCAGAGGTCACAGACCCACCTGCTGGCTAATCCGGACTCAACCTGATTTAAAACATTTATAAATTACAGCATGTTGTCCGACGACAGTGTCTAAATTTCACTTGCACCGCTTCTCCTGTGTTAATATGGTAAAGCCCTTAAGAGCATCCGGCACCAGGCTGCACGTGATACAAATTAGCCAATGAGCTGCCAGTCTAGGTTGCTGCTGCGAGCTACTTTTAGACACAGCAGGCAAGCCGGATGATGGGACAGATGGAGAACACGATGACAAAAAGAGAGCAGAGAAAGTGTGGACTGCTGGAAGAACTGCGGTGAACGTGAAAGAAAAGTGAAATGGTGTGCTCAAAGATGACTCTGCACATTTTGAGTATGTTTGGCTCAACCTGCTGCTGTGAAGCAGGATTTTTCACCATGAACAGAATTAAAAATAAATATGGATCCAGGCCCAAAATGAGCACCTTGATATGTGCTTCAGAATGGCTTTGTCTCCATTCAAACCCAGGTTTAAAGCCTTGCAGGGCAGCCTAAAGTCCACTGCTCTCATTAAGCCAGAAAAATAATAATAATAATAACACGGTCAGTTCAGGTGTTTTATAAAATATGTGAATCAGGAATTTTTTCTGTATACCAAACTGAAAGATTGTTGTTCTCTACTTAAACACTTTATATTTTAAAGTGGAAAAATATTCTATTTTTTTCTTTTAATACTTTTTATATAAAAATTCAATGTATAACATGGATGCATAAACAACTCATTTTATTTCAGCGTTAAATTCTGTTTAAAGTAACAAATTATAATTAAAAATGTCTCCGCACCTTTACTGATTGATGATTTTCTTTATTCGGACCCTGCTGATTTTTATTTAGTTACCCCTGCTTTAGACTGAGGACCGATTATTTAAATGTGTCATTTACATATAATTTAAGCTGTATACTCCCACAGTAGTTGGTTAAACTAAACTGTTAGGAAAAACAAGCAGGTGGCAAAAACAAAAAACAAAATCTGACAAACTTTCTCCCTCTTAGCACACAGACCATGACTTAAATTGCTATAAAAGTCACTCTGTGCCATCAGGTTACTCTACTATATAAACAATCCAAGAGAACGCATAAAAAAACCCTGTTATGGTAGCAGAAATCCTCATCTTCCCCCTCAGCAGGAGTACATTTATAACCTGCCTATAAACAGAGCTGCTTCACTGTAAACGGTCTAAATTTAGAAAGCTTTACCAACTCTCCCACAAATCCCCAGACCTTGGCCTATTTCCCACAGCCGAGTGACGGCCAGCTCCCTACTGTAGCCCTGCGAAGATGGATGACAGAACAGTAACCAAGAGGGAAGAAGGTGGAGGGGGTAAAGCGTGACTCCGGGGCAAGGTTCTAGAGCGGAGCGTTGCTGTGGTAAATGGGATTTAGGCTTAGTCAACATAGATGAGTCAGTATGGAAATTGTCAGAGAAAGACCGCTGGGTAATGCTGTGTATACGCTCTGAGGAACGGTTTGTAAGAAAGAGACAGCTAGGCGGTAAACGGGGATGGGAGGAAGAGTTTTCTAAGGGAGAAAAAATAGATTTTGGCAATTAAATGTGTGGAGGATGGAGTTAAAAGACTGCATGTTTGATTTAGGGAAAGAGAGGCGCCAAAATAAAACTGAAAAATTCATAAGGTAGAAGAGTTATACAGTAAATGTAGTCTGGAACGTTGGACCCAGACAGTCTTTCAGTTCAATGTCAATTATCTCTAAAAGTGAAAACAAAACCAATTTAAAGGTAAAACACAGCCTTCTCTGGTTCTGTACCACCGATGAACTCTAAACACCAGGAATGTTTATAGAAAATAAAGGAGAGAGCAGAGACTGTTAAGCCGGGCATACACTGTGCGATATTTTCAATCTTTGCACGCAGCTACAGCTCAAACTGTACGACGAAATCGCAGGGTTTAAAAGTTCACAGCTAACACTGTGCGGCTCGACGCTCTGACACAATCTACCTTCTCACACTGCACATCCAAAACCACACGTTAGACTGAGCACCAAGAGATGCCGCTGGTCGGACTCGCCAATCTGAAAGAAGAGGAACTTCGTTGTTTGCACATGCGCTGTGCTCGAGGTCCTGCTCGTAGCTCTGCTTCAACTGCAGGAACTGCCCAGAAAAAGAACCTATGACAGCCGACTGAATTTCAAACATGTTTGATTTTCTCCCGACCTCACGATTCCTGATCAGGAGGTGGTCGTGAGAGGCTATTCCCCCCTCGTTACCCCCTGTAGACTACACAACGCAGGACGCACCTACCATGAGGCAGACACCCTGTCTACTTTTAAGGATAGGCTTAAAACTTTCCTTTTTAATAAAGCTTATAGTTAGACTGGCTCAGGTTATCCTGAGCTATCTCTATAGATATGCTGCTATAGGTTTAGACTGCTGGAGGACATAGGGACCCCTTTTTCATAATTCTGCTTGATTCTATCTCAATTCTCCCACTCTGCGGAATCTGTTAGTTCAATCTCTAACGTTATGCTCTCTATGCTTTTTTCTCATAGTAGCTTTGACTCGTCTGTTCCTGTTTGGCTGTGACATCATCCTGGAGAGAAATATCAGCTGTGCTGCTGCCATCAACACCTTTGTTTATAGATGTTGGAGATCAGCCTGTTTTTCCAGTGTGGAACTGTTTCTCTGACTGTGACTGGTGTGATGTGCTCTCTTCATCCTCTGACATTGTAGTTAGCTCAGAGCTCACCTGCCTGGCTGTGCGTTTCCTGGATGGTGCCGCCTTTTACAGCTGCTTTTTGTATCTCTGCTTCTGTCTCGTTGAACCCCAGTCGGCCTCGGCAGATAACCGCTCACACTGAGCCTGGTTCTGCAGGAGGTTTCTTCCTGTTAAACAAGCGTTTTTCCTCTCCACTGTGGCTACAAGCATGCTTAGTGTGTGGGATTGCCTTCAAGTCAATGTGTCACTGCAATCAACTGGTTTTCCTTAGATAGAAAACTTTGAATCAATTTGACTGTATGATCTGGTGAACTGTAAAGTGCCTTGAGATGACACGTGTTGTGAATTATTTATATAAATAAACTGAATTGAATTGAATTCAACATGAAGCAGCTATAAAACTAGACATTAATAGAAAATTAAAAGCAAAGAACTTAGTTTATGAAACTGGAGAATAGATGCTTTAAACTGATTTCATCAAGTATTTTTTTTTTCCTCACTATGTGTTCCAGACCTTAAATCTCATCTAATAATCAGGTTCCAATTTTTAACCCAAATCTAATAAAGCCCTGATATTTAATAATGAGTTTCTTTACACCAACCATCTGCTGGTGTCTGCAGGAGTGAGGACAGAGAGCGGAGAATGTCATCTACCACACACGGCTTTTAATAATTCATCCATGTGCTGCAGCGCCACCGCCGCGGCCTTCTGCACAACAGAACGTAACTGAGCCTCATTAAGCCGGACGGCGGGAGCTCCACGGAAAAATAACAACGCGCGGGATGCATACCTAGACGCTGACAGACGTGCGCAAATGCATAAACATAAATATAACACAGCAGGTGGTGGGATAGATAAGAGGGAGCAAAAGAGGACAGGGAACATTCTGTAACCTGTAAGGAGTGTGGGTTCACCTGAAGATTATAATTAACCTAAAGCTTTTCTGTTAACTCAAAATAATACTGAAGTCTAGGAATTCACGACGTACCTGACACTTTTCTCAACTACAAATAAGGGGCCCATGAATTGGTTGCGTAAATAACTATTTCCTCCATAGGTTCTATGGTCTACAGAGCAAGAGGAGGATTTATGCATTGTTACAAAAGCAGCCGGCAAGACTCTAATTACAAACCTAAGAGGATATAGACTTCCCCGTTTGCACCTGGGTAAGGAACGCTCCATGTGCTCAAGCTGATGAGAGGCTTGCACTTAGACTTTCAGAGGAAACCCAGAGAGATGCAGGACTATGTGCTCTTAATTAATAAACGCCCACATGGGGGCTTAAAATGTGCTGAAGGAGGTGAAGAAATACATGCAAGTAAGCAAAAGCGCAACTTTGTTTCAGGCTGTTTCTATAACTAATAGGTCTAATTTTAATCCACAGCATACGCTTAAATATATCAACATACATTTTGTCGAGACATTAATTCCGCATGCTAATGCTGAGTATTCATACTTGCGAAATGCTTCCTGCAGTGGAGATAAAATGGGGTGATAAAGGATTAAAGATCTGTTAATGATAACAATGCTGCTTTTTAATCATAGTAGCTTCATTTGGTCTGTTCCTGTTTGGCTGTGACTCCATCCTGGAGAGAAATATCAGCTGTGATGCTGCCATTAACACCTTTGTTTATAGATGTTAGAGATCTGCCTGTTTTTCAGTGCAGTCCTGTTTCTCTGACTGTGACTAACTGGATGTGCTCTCTTCATCCTCTGACATGGGAGCTGGCTCTGGGCTCGTCTGCCTTGCTGGGTGTTTCCTGGATGGATCCGCCTTTTACAGCTGCTTTTTGTATCTCTGCTTCTGTCTCTTGGAACCCCAGTCGGCCTCAGCAGATGGCCGCTCACACTGAGCTTGGTTCTGCTGGAGGTTTCTTCCTGTTAAAAGGGAGTTTTTCCTCTCCACTGTCGCTACAAGCATGCTTAGTGTGAGGGATTGCATTGGAGTCAATGAGTCGATGCAATCAACTTGTTTTCCTTAGATAGAAAACTTTAAATAAATTCGACTGTATGATCTGGTTGAATTGTAAAGCGCCTTGAGATGACGTGTTGTGAATTGGCGCTATACACAAATAAATAAACTGAATAATCTTTTGGGAATTTTCATAGATATAATCTGGTCATTTTGGTTCATTTCAGTGTTTTTTTTGTTTATTGTTTCTCTCACTCATGGCAACCTTTTAATTCATGATCAAATCGGAGTGCGAAAGGTTGTGGCATTTCTTATTGAGAATGTGAGGTTGTCAGCATTATTAAACAAGCTGAAAATGTGTCCATAGTACCTGTGCTACAGAGGGTCTCTTTTCCCGCCCTCTCTTCGTCAGGTTGTCGAGGCCTTTCAGTGAGGAGAACAGGCTCCTCTTTCTCTGCCTGCAAGCCGTAGACAACGAACGCCTCCTTACTGTGGCCTCGTCCCTGGAACAGATCTGAACAGATGCACAGCATCAGGACCAAATTACACAAAAAGGAACACCACCATATCTTCGACTTCGATCTTCCTTACCAGTGCATGGAAAGAGGACACGGAGAAAACGCCGAGGCGTCCCAGAGCGGTTTTGGTTGGGCGGCTAGCGGTGGCAAGCAGGCTCTTGGGATTAGGCAGCTCTCCCCCCTGAAGACTGGCAAGGTAGCAGCGCATCCTGAAGAGGTCCATGTTGAACTTCTCTAGGTTCTGCTCCCACTGCTGGATCTAATGGAAGGGAAAGAACATTGCTTTGGTTTAGATTTTTGGGATTTAGTATGTTGGGTGATGACTTAACAAGCAGTGCTTTAGAGGGGAGGGGAGTTTCAGGATCAAAGGAGATGCAGGGTCAAGCAAGTGTTTTAGTTTAAAGCGTAATTGCTTGCAGATGCTGGTGGAGGGCAACACCATGACGTGGTGGGAGTTTGCCGGTGACAAATGGCTGCATATTTCACAGAGAGGTATTTCTGTCTGCACGGCGAATCCAAATGCACATTTTATGTCCTGAGAACCAGAAGATGTAGAACAGACCACACATATAAACTTCCCCCACACTCCCAGTTTACAGGTATGTTATGTTAGCTATAGGAAAGAGCTAATTTTGTTGGCTGGAGACTGGATTTAACGAGAACAGCAAGAACAACCCCCCATAACGACCCAGCTTAATCGGTCTCGTCTGTGCCATGACTTCATTTAGTATAATGGACCCCACGGTGGTGTCCCATTAGGGTTTCGCTCAAATCAACGTGCGCTGGTTGGAATTACGAGCAAACTGAGAACAAGGCCAAAGGGTGGCATTTTATGAACACCTTAAACAAACATTTTCGACTAATGCACTCTGAACACCTATGTATACGACTGTGCAGGTGGGCTCAGTTAACAAGCTTTAACTCATTCAAACATTCCCCATTGTAGACAAGCTTGCACTGTGCATTCCTCTTGTTGAAGGGCACAACATCTGGCAAAAAGAAACTTGGTTATTGAGAAGCAGAGCATCTGTGGTGAAAGATCTGTGCTTTGTTTTTCTCTGCAGGCGGTTATGGTGGGCCTGAAAATGTGGGGCAGTTTGGTTGATTTTTAAAGCTAAAATGAGGGTAGGTTCATGATTTATCACAGATATGTTGTGGTTAATTCTACCAACCATGTTTTAGTTAACTTGTAAAATGAAAAAGACATTTTTTATGTGTATTATCTGGATTTAGCAAGATGAGAAAAAGAGGAGGGACATATTAACTATATTTTGCCACAGCTTTTGTGAAATTAAATGCTTAACTTGTAAGCTTCTCTCCAAGCTTGGCACGTCTAAAGATTTCCTTTATCTGACATCTGATTGGGTCGTTGATCTCAAAAAGTTTATTGTAGCTATGGATGCAGTCAGGCTCGGACTGGTAATCTCTGAGACGATCCTAATTACAGCGTGCAAGGGCCAGCCCTCCTTAAATCATACCGGCCCCAACACTTACTCTCCGGCTGAAGCACCTACCTGTGACAGTAAATAACTCAAGGAGCTCAAGAAGTAATACAATGTTAACTACCTAAATGATGCATGCAGTATATATAGCCCTTCCCTGTCATGCACAACCTTGTGACGTTTGGTATATGGTGTAATTTTCTATTTCTTCAGACTGTAAAATCCTTGCAACAAGCTAAATTATAATAATACTAAAATGCTTACTTTAAACCAAACTACGTTATGTTTCTCTTATATTTGACAAATTTATGTTAGAGTATTTTTCTAAAAATATGTCGTGGTGCATGATGGGGATTCGCATCGAAAGTTTAATAAAGTTATAACTTATTTGCCCCTTCCTAAAAACCTATTTCCACCCCAACTGTCTGCAAAGTTTTTCCTCTAAGCAGATGTTCATCTTTTCTTCCTGGTTGCATTAAAATCTGCAAAAGCTTCAATGCAAGATAATTCCTTTGGTGTAACTTGATCACAGTGTGTGTGTGTGCGTGCTTGTGTCCTAATGTGTTTGGGGGTTGGGCAAGGGCAGACTTCAAACAAGCTCTGCTGGCACTGATTTGAGAAGAGGTGGGTGAGGGGGCAGACAGGGACATCAAAGTGGTGCCCTGTCGATGCTCAACAACCACACCGAAACTGAAATTTATCATCAGCCCCGAGGCGCCTTTATCAGAGTCCTGTCCTGTACAACTTCTGACCCTATCATTCACTCCAACTCCAGCTTGTCTCTGCGGTGGCATGCTGGCTAATTGGAAACAGACATGAATGCAGGCAGCTTGGTGGTAGCCAGGCAGCGACACCGCTTGTGGTCATTCCTGCACTGATTTACTGAGCATCTTTCATGAAAAGTTATTTGCTTTAATTTGCAAAAACTAGAAGGGTTTTGTTTGTCACTTTAGCAACATCAGCTGGGAGTTTTAGTGCAAATAAGAATCTGAAATGATGTAGAATATCAATCATGCAATTAGGCATAAAAACCGTTTTATTGTCGCCTATTCCTAAACTAAAGTAGTTTTTGTAAAAAGTATAAACATACTTGACTCTTTTTCTGACTCTGTAATCTGCTGCATGTAGGCTACAGCACAGCAATGCATGCTTTGGATTCCCCCCTTCAGGCTGATGGAGGAGGGGGAATAGGATAATGCATATTACCAGAAAACATCTGGAATCGCAATGATGATAACAATCCAGGAACAAGCAGCTCCCCTGGGCCCCTCACTCCGCATTTTGGGACTGAAACATCCAGGCCACCTCACCCACCCACACAGTAAAATTAGCCACAGACCTGTCGCAGTTGTCACCAAATGGTGAAAAATAAGTAGAGCACAACACCAAAAGGTTTGTTTTTTTAAATGTGCCAAAATTAAACCACATCCCCACCTATGCAGGCTACTATCAACCAATTGATGGATGGAACATTTTGAGTGGCTTTGTTCTATTATATTTTCCCCGTTTCTTACCTGGTTTTCAATAGCTTTGCGGTTTTTGGGGTTGCTGACTACGGTCAGCTGGAGCTCTGCCATTTTCTTCATCTTCCCATCCATGTCTATCTTCTGGAGCAAGGTGCGTGCCTGGTTCCGCAGCAGACGCACAGTGTCTTCCTTTCCCTGACGCTTGGCGAGCAGCGAAGCGCTGGCTGAGTGGATGGCTGTCACCCAGTTTTCCAGGTCCGTCTGGTTGCTGGCCTTAAACGACCAAAGAGACAGGAATGTGATAAGGCTTTATAGGCTGATATTCAGTTAAGCAGCTAAAATAACAATCAGCAGAGTAAGCCAATGCATTGCCATTTGCTGTATGTCATAAAAAGAAAAGCGAGTGTAAGCCAATAAAGTCAAGGATCAATGATAAATAGTACCTGTATTTGAAAACATCAGCATAAATGTCACCTACAAAGTACTTTTAGTAAAAAAAAAACTTTATCTAAGAGCCAAAATATTGGTCAGAGAATCAATGGAGGGTTCTTTTCAGTGTCAATAACTAAGCAGAAAATCGTCAAAATTGTCATATCCTTTTTCTAACACTAAGAAGATTAAAAAATACCTTTATTGTCCAACAGAGGGGGACTAATGACACACTAGAGAGGCATTAAACAAAATCCAGGAGATCGACCCTTTATCAGGTGAAGTCCCAGGAAGCACAAAGATGAAGGAAACAATTTAAAATACTACTAAATTGTCTAGATGTTTCCAGTGAGAGCTAGCATTAGAAAGTAACAGGAAGGCTAAACAGAGTACATCAAAGAAGCGTGCAGACATACATTGTACGGCCTTTACCAAAAAAAATGATAAATGGTACACCCTATTTTTCCCCAAGAAACTTCACTCAAATGTACAAAATTTCAAAAGCGGCAGACACTGGAGATGGAAAAGTTTAATTGTTTTTGCTCGACGACCCACAACAACCAATCAGAAAGTGGATGTGATACATGGTAGGAAGACAGGCAAAGCACTGCTCATGCAGAGCGATATGATCACTCCCCTGAAACTGTTTACTAATGCCTAAATTAACTTAAAATGTCGCAACCTGCCAGTAAAATATGTCTGCTTTTATTATTCTGATGCTTGCAGTTTGTACCACATACCTGAAAAATATTAGCATCTACTTTTAACCACCACTAACAGAAGTGGAAAACCTCGAAGAGGCAACCGGGCCTGATGCAGCTGCTGCTGGGGATTCCTAGTGAAGGCGCACCACCGGTATGTGGGGGTCTGAGCGCCTCTGACAGCGAAATAATATTTTAAGGCAGGATTATAAGACTGAGGAACTGACTGGACAAACAATGTTTTCAGGTGGACTTTCTCGCATAAAAATTATATTGAATCCAGTTTTTACCCATTAATCACAGCAAATATTGCAAAGCTGCTCTCTGCCACTGAACACAGGAGCAGCAGAGGCATCTGGACAAACTTTACTGGACGCGATTCAGAAGCATCAAAGATGCTCTGGAGGCACATCTGACCTTAAGGTGTCCAGGCATCAAAATTTAAGCAGCAGACACTTTTTTGCTGCTCAAATTGCAGTGTGAATGTAGCATTAAACTTCCTGACTGTTTGAATTGACCTATGAAACATTATATTGTACCTGAAAATGATCTCATGTCTTCCTTATGAAAGTTTCACCTCTAGTCAAGCAAACTTAAACCTATATTCCCATCAGGAAAAAAGCTGCATTCCACCTCAAAATGCAGGAAATAGTGTTTCAGAGAGTCTAAATTTCACCCCTAAAAACATAAAGATTTGATAGAACAAGGTGTATCAATCTACAGTACTACTGCTCTCTAGAGGTAAACAAGTAAATCAACATGGCAGTGCCCATAATTAGGACGTTTGCGGAGAGTCAGGCGAAGAAGGCAGCCTTTGGTGAATTTATTTGACAGATTTTGCTTTTGGGAAGTGGATACGACAAACAATTATCTAATCAGGGTTTACAGATGCAAGAAACAACGACAGGAGTCGAGACCAAGGTGTACACTATGATATATTCCTGGCTAAATGCCTGTCCGTTTTATTTCCAATTTGTTTGCACATTCATTCTCTACCAAGGAACATCCCGGATTTGTTAATGTTGGCAGCCTTTTGAAAGAGTGCAGCTGTAGGGAAATCAGCTGTAGTCAGCTTATGTGCTGTGCAGCATGTTAGATTGGCTGAAAGCTCCAGGCAGCTGTATTTTAACTTCAGATTCTTTTTACTTGATGTTCAGTAATTCAGCTAAATGCATACATTACTGCTGTTGAAGAATATGTCCAATGACAACGTTTTCGTTCAGTTCTTTCTTTTTCCTCCAATGAGGCAAGAAAATCCTCAGTATTCTCAAATAACAGCATTTATTGATGCTGGTATTTGAGAATACCTAGGAGTCCTCTTCGTTTCATTGTGGTGTCCATTTTTAATGTTGCCTAACAGAACATTGCTTAATACTGTGCAAGTGTTTAGGTATAAAACAACGCTGCATGTGTTTGGAACACTTGCATACCAAACCAAAAGGAATCTTCAAGATATTTTCTATACCAATAAAATAAAAGGCTGATAAAAATATAAGAAAAATACAAGTTTAACTGCATGCACACAACTGTGCTGTAACATACACAGCTGTAGAAATGGAATAAAATGCCTAAACATTAAAATGGTTTGACCAAAGTTCAGGCTCTTACCTGGAAGAGGTAGACGTCTCCATATGAATTACTCAGACAGAAGACATTCTCCCTCTTAGGGTGTTCTGGGACAGCCTGGACAACGCTGTCCTCAGCTAAGAGGGCGTAGCGGGGTGATAACTCCTGCTCCGTAGAGCCCTTCCCATAAGTTTCATAGAACAACAGTGTGCACCCTGGAAAAGCAGGAAACACTGTCAGTAAACACTACATTCCTCTGAGAAAGACTTCTCAGGAGCTAAAATGTACTTGAAAAAGACATTTGGTGACTTTAGCACTATTTACACTACCCTCTGAAAACCAATCTGTGCCGAGTTTGGATCCTTACGACCATTTATACACCACTCTAGCACCGTTCCTCGCCTCCTCTTGGCGATCTACAGTACTACTTCTCTCTAGAGGTAAACAAGCAAATCAAAGTGGCGGCGCCCATAACTTTCAGGAAGTTTTTGGAAAGTGAGGTGAAGAAAGCAGCCTTTGGTCAATTTATTTGACAGAGTCGGATTTTGGGAAGTAGATACGACAAACGATAGTCTAATCAAGAAACAACAAAAGGAGTTGAGGTTCATCACACCTAGGGTAGCCAACCGTCCCTTGAAAAATGGAATCGTTCCGTATTAAGAAATAAAAGTACCTGTCCCGTATTTAGTGGAAAAGGAACGCACTTTGTCCCGTATTACTGTGAGAGTAAAAAAAAAAAAAATTTCAGTAAAACGCAAATGGAAAATGAAGAACAAGGGCACGTTATATACAAAAAATACAAATATGTTTACAGGTTTGCAGAAATTTGCTGTGGCACCAAAAATGTGCACTATTTATTTATTGTTTTATATGCATTTTTACAGTTTGAAGTTAAGCAGGTCAGACTTATGTTTATGCTTATTTTATTCAGCAAAGTTTGTTATTTTGTATTAAAGTTAATTGCGGGATAATAATTTTTTTTCCATGTGTTCAAGTCGCTCACAAATATGCATGTAATTCAATGCAGATTTGAGTCAAACAGTTAAAAAAATGATTTCACACACAAAGGAGGGCTAAAAAAAAAAAAAAATCAGGAAATCAGGTCAGCTGACACATATGAGGTCTCCCTTTTTTCCCCCAGGGAGTTGGCAACCCTAATCACACTGCTAAACTGAATCATCACTGGAAATCGTGTGGCACGCTAGGGAAGCCAGTTGGCTGACTGTAAGGAGATGATGTGGTCTGCTCATGCGCACTGAGAACTGAGCTAGAACTGAACCTCCCCGAGCCTTACTGATGAACTACTACCAGTATAACACAGTTCTGTTGTGTCCAGCGCGGTCCAGTACAGTTGTGTGTGCCATTTACACAAACAGTGATCTCAGTTACCGTGCTTGGACTGATCTCGGCAAGGTCTCAAAAGGGTAGTGTAAATAGGGCATTTGTAACATCCACAATAGATTTTAGAATCAAGCAAAGGATCCAGAAAAAAACTTAATAAAGTTTGATGCTTGGCTTTTAAGAATATATTTTTCTTTCTTGATCACAAAAGCAACCCCTCCTATATTATGTGGAATAATTTTATTACTGAGGTCTAAAGCAACTACATGCACTCACCGGCCACTTTATCACATACACCTTACTAGTTAGTTTGGACCTCATTTTGCCTTCAGAACTTCCTTCATACTTCGAGGCAAAGACTGAACAAGGAGCTGGAAACATTCCTCAGAACTAGGTCTGGATTGACATCATAGCATCACACAGATGCTGCAGATTCATCGTCTTCACATACATGAATCTCCCGTTCCACCACATCCCAAAGCGGCTCTACTGGACTGGGATCAGGTGACTGTGGAGGCCATCTGAGTACAGTGAACTCAACCATCTGCATGTTGTAGCAGATTCATCAGACCGGGCAACACTTTTCCGACTTTCTAATGTCCAACTATGTGACCTGTCTGCTTCTTTTTCCTAGTACTCGGTGTTGTCTCCTGCGGGTGTATCCCATTTGCCTCAACCTTTGAAGTGTTGCTCGCTCATAGAAGCTTTTCTACATACCTGACTTGTAACAAGTGGTTATTTGAGTTGCCCTTCTATCAGCTTGAACCAGTGTGGCCATTCTTCTCTGACCTTTGGCACAAACAGGGCATTTACACCCACAGAATTGCCACTCACTGAAATTTTTTTTCTTTTAAGACTATTCTGTGTAGCCCCAATAGATGGTTGTGTGTGAAAATCCCAGTTGTTGAGCAGTTTCTGAAATACCAATAAAGCCCGTCTGGCGCCAACAACCATGCCACTTTCAAAGTCACTTAGCCTACATTCGCACAGCAGCCTTAAGTAACGCAAATCAGATTTTTTTGCCCACATGCGAACTGTATTGGATCTTTTCATGGCAGTCTGAATGACAGAGATCAGATTTTTTGCGATGCGACCCAGGCCACTTGGCTCTGTGGTCCTGAATCCATCCAAGAATCTGATCTTTTCAAATGCGACCTGTGTCTGAACAGCCAAGTTGCATTCATACGACCCGAAAGTCATTAATACTCAACAAAAGTCACTATTCTGCCTCTTGCTACACAGAAGCGGCAAGAAAAACAACAATCATGGAGCCATACGACCGTATTGCGGAGAGTAGTATTTATGTTTAACCATCTCGAAAATTTTGTCTTTTTAAGGTTGGGAAAGATCGCTACATGCACTCCAGCAAAACCATCCACGTTTACTTCTGTAAACACAGAGCACACTTGCTTGTGACGTCATTGCATCCTCTACTGTAAATGTTGGACAACTGCATTGCATGAATGCAGTTCACACAGGAGATCACATAAAAGTCACATATATTTGGAAATGTGAATGGCAACGCAGAAAAATTAAACTTCACAAATAATTTGGAATTGAGCATTAAGGCCTGCAGAGTGAACGTAGACTTAAATCACCTTCCTTCCCCATTGTTATGCTCAGTTTGAACAGCAGCAGATTGTTTTGATCATGTCTACATGCCTAAATGAATTCAGTTGCTGCTATGTGATTTGCAGATTAGAAATGTGCATCAACAAGCAGTAGGACAGGTGTACCTAATAAAGTGGTCAGTGAGTGTCCCTAGGTCATCTGTGGCTCACTGGTCTGGAACTAGAAGAAAACTCCTGACTGACAGTAAACAGTAACCTTTAGTGCTTCTCAAAGCAACATTTCAGAGAGGATATTCGAATAATCTGCTTAACTTCTCCCAACTCAAGTTCTTAACTTTGATTCAAACTCGCATGTAGAGGTGCGAGTGGGTTTAATGGGTTCAATGGAATGGGTTTAGCAGGGAAAGTTAAACTCATTCCCTGGGTTTACCTTTCAGAGTCACCCAGTAGTGCTTCCATTTACGGCGGGTCAGTAGCTCCAGCTTCCTTTCCTTGTGCAGGGTGATCAGGGGCTTGAAGGAGAGCCACCCCGCCCGTCTGACCACCCCCTGCTCCTTCGCAAACAAAAGGTCGAGCTCCTCCATGGAGCCCTCGGCCGACTCGCTGCTGCTCCCTTCTTCTTCCGTTCCAGTCGATGGGTCTCTCCTCTCTCCGCCTCCCATCCCGGGTTCTGTCTCCAGTTCTCTCATGAAGTTTTCATAAATGTTCTGGCGGACAGCGTCACTGGTCGTTTGGTGAATGGCTCCTGACGACTGAGCCCTAGAGGCTCCGGGGAACCAGAGGACGCTGGAAACCTGTGAGGGGGAGCTGGTGTCCGCAGTCAGGCCATCAACGCCACTGTCAAAGGCCTCACTGGCTTCTCTGTATCTGGTCTCCTAAGGAGGTAAAATGGAAAATAAGAAAGATCAGAAAAACAAACCCCAGAAAGGTTTTTAATAGCTTGTATCAATATAAAACTATTCAGTCTTTCATCCGTCTATCCATTCATAGTTCTGTCCACTTAACCCAGCATTCAGCTGAATATCCATTAACCTTTTATGCTTCCTTTTCTTGGAAACACAAGCCTCATTTAATACCAATAACAAACGTCTTGTCTGAATAAAATTTAATTTCGTTATAAATCTGCAAATGTATGTATGATAATTCCAACAAGTCAAGTAGGTTTTGAAACTCTAGGCAGATCGAAACTCTTAGAAACAAAGGAAACAATGTTTGTTTGACTAGAGGGGAGTGGTTAGGGCATAGAGCTTGGGATCCTGAGTTTCCGAGTTCGAGCCCCACTCCCACAGACTGCCACTCTGGGTCTCTGAGCAAAGACCCTTAACCCCACACTGCTCCCCAGGCGTTGCACAATGGCAGCCCACTGCTCCTCAAGGGGATGGGTTAAATGCAGAGGTGAATTTTCAAGCGGCCCGCTAGCTCAAGTGGTAAGTCACCCCTCCAGCAAACAGGAAGCCTGGGGATGCAAGTGTCGGTCCTTAGTCAATACCCTTCACACTAATGCCTGCTTTGGGGAGTGGGGGCCTAGTGGTTAGGGCATTGCACATGAAATCCTGAGGTTCTGAGTTCAAGCCCTACCCCTAGCACTGCCAATCTGGGTCTCTGAGAAAGACCCTTAACCCCACACTGCTCCCCCGGCGAGAGTTCATTTCTTTGCTCTGTTATTGTGACAGTGTAATGACAATAAAACGCCTGGGGGAAAAAACATTGTTTAGATTGAAATGTTTCTGAGATGACATCAAAACTTTTTATGCACCAACTGTTAGTGAATATGCTGGTCTGATTCCCTGCATGCAAATAAAATCCTACCAGCTTGCCTTAAGAGGTGCAACTATCTATAAATACATACAGGATCAAATTTAAACAGGCTCTTTTAACTTAGCCCAGAGGTAAAATAACCATTTTTAAGATCTAGTCTAGCTGAAACCTTCAAAGCCACTTAATTTTTAACTAATCAGAGAAACAGTGATGACATCTTGGGGGGGTTGGGAACCCTTCTGGATCAGAGAAATTAACATCATTTGTGGGCTTATTTGGCTTCTCAATTTCAAAAAGGCGAACACTTGATGCAAATGCATCCTTTTCATCCGTGATGACAGTCTACAGACACTTGACTAGATTGCAGCGTCGAGTCTGCTCATAACAGCAGAGCGGAGTATTCTGAACAGGCAGGGTCTCACCATGACACAGCTTTTTCTGTCTTTATTTTGTTCATGCATAATGTTTAGTTTCAAGTCTGCTATCTATATATTAGCTATGTTTCACGTTCATCTGATTTTTTCAATATAATCAGTTCATATATTATACTGTATTAAGGGTCATGGAGCGACACTGCCTCATTTTGACTGATCTTAAGATATTCCCAGGACAGAAAGGATAAATCATCCATGGGAATAATGAGGCCCCCCAAAGTCTTCATCCACCCTTAGGGGCCAAGGAAACCTCCCAAGGAAGACATAAAGAGTCTTCTTCTTTCTATTCATTATCCTGATCTGATTTTTGGATTATCTGCTATTTTAGAGAAGCTCATACAGTATTATAAAAAATGCATAAATTCATTTGTTTCAATAGTAAACTTTCTTAAATCCAAGTGACTAAGCAAAAATCACCATTAGCAGATTTTCTCTGTAAAGACCATGAAGCAGCCAAGGAAATCTGCTCACAACAACCAGAACAAGCTCAGACCCTTCATTAATATTAGAGGACGGTTTAGGTTAAATCTTTAGCTAAGGATTTAGTTTCACCCTACAGAGCTTCTCAAAGGCTTAAAGCCATCTTTCAGGCAGAAGACAACAGCGTCTTAAAACATTTACAAGGCAAATCTTAAAAGAATTAATGTAAAAACTATTGCTCTCAAGCTGCAGAGAAGGGAGAGGGACAAGGGTTCAGGCTCAGTTTAAACAAACTGCCTGGGTCAAATTAAAGCTTGTAAAGCTGCAGACGGGCCAAGAAAATCCCATAAGTCTGACAAGGGCACGAAACTTGGAGACAAACTGTAGTTCTTTCTAATCTTTGTTTTGATCAGGGCCTGTGCAGCGCAGATAATTTCACTCCTGGAAAATCATATCTGGGGAATTGTTTTGCATTTGTCTAAAATAAAAAAATACCTCCAAGAAATACAAAATACACAGATTTAAAACTTTATATCTGCATCTCCCATTTAATGAACATAAAATATGGTTTTGAAAACTGT